ACTCAGGGTTGATCTGCTCCTGCTGCACGTATAACCGGATGTTCTCGGACAGGAAGAGGACGAAATTGGTGACTGTGCAAAAGGGACTGTTAGTTTCGAGGTTTATTTATAGTCGCTGCGGTAGCAGCAGTCAGCATACCTGGACGACCAAGTGGCAAGCTTACGCTTGGTTTATCGGACACATGTTAGACTTTGTGGGCAAATAGCAGTGGGACACCGGCAGACAATTAGGACACGATGGACACGGTTTGAAACCTCTGTCTGAGATTCATGTAACCTTTGTCTTATGTGAAAGTTCAATGGCGAGTTTGACTTGATAATTCCACTTGCAGTTGAGATAGATCGCATGGTGTCTTAGATCTTTTTCGAAAGCTTTCTATCTGTTTGTGGTCATTTGTGAACAAGCCGCTTCGTTCTTTTGTATTCTGTGTACCATATCAGTTTTGTCTGAGTCAGAATTACGACAGTACGACTAAGGTCGCTGCCCGTTTACCTACAACTTGTCTTGCATTGTGGTTCTCTTTCGCCAGATCCTCAACCTTTAGAGGGAGTTTTTTTTTTTTTTTTCAGTATCCAGAAGCCATGAGTTGTTTAACCCTTAGGCTCGGTAATATGGATATCGCAACCTTTCGGCCTTGATTCCATTGTAAATACCGTAAATCTGGGAGAAATGTGGCTTTTCTGCCTACCCCCGGGAGTGAACCCGGACCACAATAGTTCATCACCCGGTCACCGCGCAATCCGGTTTAGCCAACTACGCTAGAGATTCGGGCTTTGAGGGAGTATACATGGCAGTCCTGAATTACATGCTCGGGATTTTGTCGATCTGTTCCCTCATCATATGCGTTAGGTTATTTTATGCCTATTTTGTGTACGTGTGCTCTAAGACTGAGTGTCATGTCTGAAGCCCACGGCCGCGCCGCTTTTATGTTTTTCCTGCCTGGCTGAGGAAGTCTAAAATCGCTAACAACAAATACATCGATAACAGAAAGTGGAGGAAAACTGTTTAACTCTACTGACAAAAAAGCTTTGTAAGACCAGTATAGATAAACGATCAGCCCAGCTACGTAAATTGTGTATTGAATATTTTTCACAATTTTCTCTGGAATTGAAAGAATAAAAAAGATTGTTTTGTGCGTTTTTTGGGTATGTAAAATAAGACTGCGAGCTAAGATAAACTAGAGAGACCGAAAATCGAAGATGATACAGAAGTTTCTCAGGAAACGGTGCGGAGAATAAGAATATATAGTTGACATTTGAACCGTCACGTCACAAGCAGCAGTTACCAAAGCCTGACGATAACGTTGAAGAAGAAATGCGAAGCATATTTGTGCCAAACGCCCATAATCAGATTCCACATTTATTTGCATGTATATTAACAAAACAACAACCATACCGATATTTGCATATTCATTTGCCTTTAAGACAACTAAACATCAAACACAAACGACCCTTTCTTTCAAAACCAAATGTTTATGAAGTCATACGTATGAACAAAACCAAAAAAACAAAAAAAAAAAAGTCATCACAATGTGTTATTTAGTGGGTTTTTTTTTTTACACGCACAGACACACAAAAGCACCCAGATGCATGTTTAATGAAATATGCACAATATTTTGAATAACATATTCGTGAAGTATTCAAAGTAATGTAGTGAATGAATATATGGCTATTATGAATGTCTATACACACACGCGCGCGCGCGCGCACGCACGCACACGCACACACACACACACACACACACACCACCGTTAAGAATATTCGGTGAACATGTCAAAAATAAAATAAAAATGAATTGTCAAATTCTTGGTATTTGTGAACTTCGCATGTTTGGATGATGTGTCTATCTTTACACTTTAGGTGATCCTTAAAGAATGCTTACATTGTCGAGTCAAGTCAAGTCGTTGAAGCCACTTTTGGAATTGTTAAGGACTGGTTTCAGAGGATTTGGCTATTATGAATGTCTATACACACACGCGCGCGCGCACACACACACACACACACACACCACCGTTAAGAATATTCGGTGAACATGTCAAAAATAAAATAAAAATGAATTGTCAAATTCTTGGTATTTGTGAACTTCGCATGTTTGGATGATGTGTCTATCTTTACACTTTAGGTGATCCTTAAAGAATGCTTACATTGTCGAGTCAAGTCAAGTCGTTGAAGCCACTTTTGGAATTGTTAAGGACTGGTTTCAGAGGATCAGCTATTTTGTACCAGATGTTAATCCTACAAGGCTTGGTCGTTCTCTGAATAGGGATGTAGTCGCCTACCAAGAGCTTCTTTCAAAACAGGAGTTTATTAGCTCAAGGGAAGACCAACAGGAAACTCCGAAACAAATGCATTCGCCAACGGTCACATTGTCTGGAAATGAATCCACAACTTGTAGAGCTTTAGGCAAACAGCTTAGACTGAGAGTTCCATCAAAAATTTAATCTGGATCGCCGAAATCAAAGTCCACCGTTAGAATTATTCCAACGCCTACGACCGTTATTGCTATAAACACTTTACTAGATCTCGTTGACAATCTATATTGAACACACGACTTTCATTGTCGCATTCCGTACAAGACAACGACGACATATAGCCTGTGAAATGGGATGCTCGAAAAAGTCAGCAAATGGAACATAATTTACATCAAAAGAAAAGAAATGTGATTGCTAGGAATACAATGAGAAAATGAGTATGCAGAGAAGAAGAGTGACCTTATTATAACATCGAACGCCAGCAACGCCTGGGATTTACATGGAACATGCATTTGTTCTCTAAACGACGAGACCAGAAAGAGAAGAGAGGGATGAGTATGTGCTATATAGATGAAGAACAATACGATATGAAATCAGCATAATTATGTGATCAAAGCTGGCTGTAAACGATGCACTGCTTTGCTTTTATAGCGGACGTACAGAGAAATTGTGAATTATTCTGTCAGCACGTTTCCTGCAAAAATGTGTAACCCTGAGGCCTCTCTTGGCTATTCTTGGCTAATATCAAGTATATGTAATCGTAAGATATAAGAGCTTTAGACTCAGGTTGTGAAAAAATGTGCGTTTGTGTGTTTCCAGTATGTGACAACATGTACTAAATAGTTCTGCCTGCCGGCATTTTTAAAAAAAAAATGTGGTTTCATTTGATGTTGAAATAAACATAGTTCCTTAGTTAAAATAAACGTAGTTCCTTAACAGATACTACCAATTGTGGTATGAAGGTTTATACCTCAACAGTTTCTACATCACCCTTTATGAGATGGCGGTGGCTAGTTCAATTCTCGACACTTTTACGTCTCAGGAAAATTCCACAAAAAGTCCACAAATAATTTCGTGTCCATTTTTCAATAGTTTGTGTTGGATCCCCAGAGCCGAACTGCTTGCAAAATAATCTTGCAACTTTTGATTGAATCAGAACCACTGCCTCAGCAGACTAACATACTGGCCACTATGCCACTGCGGATCGATTTTTTAACAGCCCCGATTAAACAATTTAGTCGTTCACTGAAACGATTGTAACAAATGTTCTCAAATGTCTAAAGTTGAAATAATGTTAAGTAAAGAAAGATCCCTTTTTACGCATTAGGCGCATCGGGTATATCGGAAGAATGTCCCATATTTTTACAGACCAATCGGCACTGGATGGGTAATGTGGTCAGCATTACGCCGGCCGTCTTTACTTCACCAGGGCATCCCTCCAGGTACCCATTTTAGGCTGGGTCTTTATGCAACGCCCATACCATATAAAAATCCACGCAGCCAGCAGTGGGTTTCGATCCCGGTACGTTGGAATTACGAGTCGGACTCGCAACGCCTGAGCCACGGACGAACGTTGAAATATAGGAACTTGATAAATTGTTTACGTAGTTCACGAAAGTGTAGGGATACGTGGCTGCATTTTGTTTTAACCGACGGTTTCTGGACTATTCTTTTTGCTTGCGAAGACACTGTTCCGTCATTTCTGTTGTAAACCTGTATTATTAACACAGCTGCTCCTCGGGACACCCCAAAGAACATCGTCTATATCTATACAAATCCATTCTAATAAACTTTATCACAACTATTACACTTTATATTTTGTAATTTGCAAGTTCAGGATTGCTATAGTATTCAGTTTCCGAGCTGTGTTGGGACATGTTTCTGGTAGGGTCTGCGTGGTCCTCGGGGTACGGCATCCGCCTCGAGTGCTGGAGATCCCGGTTCATACCGTGGGGAAAAAGGGATTTTCTCATGTGGACTTTTAATCATTTCCTCTGGTCTCTGGGTAGTAAGATCGGACGCCCGTGTGTATTATTGCGTACTTAAAAAATCTCTTGGCAGTTAGAAATCGAAAGGAGTAGCCTAACGGCGCTGCCCGGGCAAAATTTGCGGTTAAAAACCTACTCAAAGTATTTCAGAATCCTCGCCGGTGAAACGGAGTTCGTGCACTGCGCTGACAATTTTCAGACTCGGGCTTGAGCTAGAAGTAGAACGCAGCACTTATGGGTTACATCCATGAGCCATGATGTTGATCAGTCGACTAAACCTAAACACACATCTACTAGAGTAACTGGTTGTGTTCCTGTTTCTAGCGCTGTCACAAGTGAGATCATTGTCTTGACCGACTCAGTTACATTTCAAAGTGCAATGCGTAAATTCAACAACAACAACAACAACAACAACAAAAATAACAGTGTGTTAATAAATTTAAAGAACCATGTATACGCAGTTAGAAACATTTATGATTCAAGTGTGGTCAATGGTAGACATATTTGTGGGCTAATGTGTTTGCTGATTACAACACTACTGCTTTGCTCTGGGTGACTAGAGATTGATGGCAAACTAATAAAAGTTACGCCACCTTGAGTCTTGTTAATTGGCACATTCAGCGCAGATATTTCCTGCAGGAAATACATCATTGATTACACTAAAATGCACACATTGAAGATACATTGCCTTCTGCACCGTGTGTAATGAAATCCTTTAATACGATTATGAATTGGCCCTTAATGTATTAATTTCGAAGATTCACGTGTCTTGTGTGGCTGGGGCAATTACAAGAACAGCCAGAGTAGAAGTGACTGTAGCGAGGAAGAAGAACACAAATAGGATTCTATCAACAACCTGAGCAAGCCTTCTCCAATCCTGCATCTCACCGAACTCTTTTTCCTCTACCTCATGTTTCTCCAGTAATTTGGTCAAGGATAACAGTGCGTCTTCATATGGCACTCTTGCCTTGGGTAATTTCTTAGACTGTTGTGTCCCAGTGCGACCTGAACAACTGTGACCGGTTGTGTGATTGCACGGTTTTTTGCTGGTGTTATTTTCATGCACTGAGCTTGTCAAATTAGCTGCACTGTTAATGTTCGTGCAATTTTTCAACAGTTGCGTTGCATTTGAAGCATTATTAATTTCTTCCACTGTCTCTATCAAAGCCGATGAGGGTGATAAAGCGGAATTAGTGTTGACGTTGTCTGTTTCCGATACTCCATTCTCCAATTGTATTTCATCGCGTAGTTCCTGTGCCAGGTTGTCCAGCGTCACCTTCAAAGACACATTTCTGGCCATACAGTGAGCATCAAAACCTCTTTGACCAAAATAGTGCAAATGGCCGTGGGGATCTCCTGCCCGGTAACGAGATCGGCGTCTAGGACTCCTTCGACCCCAGGAAAAACTTCTTCAGGCCCGGCGGTACTGGGTGTTTCTGCGGTCCTCTGTGATGGAGATTCAGGACGAACACAGTCATGATGACGGAGACGGAAGTTAGGAACATCACGATCGTCAAGTAGATACCTGCAATGCAAAAAAAAAAAAAAAATTCATTTTGTTTTGAAACAATTTTACGTTTATATTTCTAAATACCATTTAATATATTCATAAGCGGTCGTTCTTTTTCTTCTAAAAAATAGCACTTCAGTCAAGTCGTAGAAGCCGTATTTAGAATTATTGACTGGTTTGATTTTTGACGTTTTCTTCTGAGCAAAATGCTGCTCCCTCCATATGCTTTTTTATAACCAGTCGGCACACAGTATAATCCAGCTCCTTTACTTTGCAGACTGTTTTCAGAAAAATATATTAGCCAGGATTGACGTAGGAGCCAATGTGCTTTTTTCAGAAATCGTTGGGAATACGAATATATTATGATCAGAGAGGCAGGTGAGCCTCTAAGCTTGTTAGAAGTCTTGGTCCTTGTACAAATATATACATATATGTATGTGTATATACATACAGGTAAACATGTGTGTGTGTGTGTGTGTGTGTGTGTGTGTGTGTGTGTTTGTATAAAGTTATAATTCCACAGCTTCCTCAGAGTACTTTACTTCCTCTATTAGCTGTACCTCTGCCTCTTGTATCAAGAACATTCTCTGGGTAATTCATTGCATAGCGTGAGCCAAGAAATGCACCCTAATTTTTTTTTTTTTAGCATGTAGAATCAGAAATGCTCGATTGCAGCCGAAACATCCCCACAATTAACCCTGGAACAGCTTCTTTTCTTGCAATTCTTACCCCGAAAAAAAAAACTAACCATTCACATGGAACATTTTTAGTGTTATAAATCCGTGGAGAATTCCATCTTGCCATTATTTATTTGTGCCGAAAGAGAAGGTATGCCTTTTTTTTTTTTTTTTGTCGTCGGAGTATTTCTGAGAATTATTTGCTCAAGAATATTGTAAGCGCAACTTAAAAAAACTCAAATCCGTATCCATGCTGATGTTTTTTTTTTTATTTTTATGAGCTTGTCTTTAAGATTTTAGATCGACAAAGCCTAAAATTGATACCATAAAATGTCTTTGAAGTGAGTAGGGTGATGGGGAAGTCATCATCTATTGAATGCCGATTGGTCAGTATATATATGCCTATAGCACCATACGTCTCATGCCTCAGTAGTGTGACAAGGAATTTAATTGAGTTCCGTAATTGACCTCAATACATACACAATACAGATGATACTAAATACTAAAGACAAAATGTCACAGATAAACTTAGTTGCGTATCCTTAACATGACATTGCAGAACCAAATGCAGCATTTTTTTTCCTCTTGCAGTTTTTCTAGGCAAATTTTACGTTCAGAAGTTAACCACTTATTACTGAACGGTCACCTCTACCACTGTCGAAACCAACGAAAGACGTTCTGATTCCAAATCGCCCGCAGATGGCATCGAACCTGGCACCCTGGCTTTACGAATCGAGTTCCCAAATCCTAAGCCACAGACGCCGAAAGATACGTCTATATTAATCCTTTATTTGTCTTGAAATTTGTCAGTATCTGCATTTTTTCCTGCCCGAATTATATTGTTTTCTTTAGAATCTGTAGAATACAATGGAGCTTAACATCGTGGGTCTTTCATACAGTTGTATTTCATACAATTGTAGAATGATGTAGAATGTATTGCATTGTTAAATTTTTGCAGCGTCCTTGAGAAAATAATTTGTACCCAGATATGCACCGCTTCTCGGGATAAACATTTATCAGCATAAACAGAAAGCATATTTCCTTACGAATGTCCTTTGCAGGCAGCCCCCCCCCCCCCCCCCCCACCAGCACAAAAAAATCACAACAGCACATTGTTCATTGAGGGTACACTCCGTAAGGGGTACACTCCGTAAGTACCGTCACCATTTTGTTTATGTGTTTCAAACGCGCATGCAACACCTAGCGCTACCTGACGAACGAAGACACACAGTTTGATGTTGCTGTCACCTAATGACACCCATAGAAACGACCAGCTACATTTTTCTGCCATCACACAACATGTGTGATTTACTTATTGACTTCCCCTCTCGTGTGTGTGTGTGTGTGTATATACATACATACATACATACATACATACATACATACATACATACATACATACATACATACATACATACATACATACATACATACATACATACATACATACATACATACATACTACGTACAGTACGTACGTACGTACGTACGTACGTACGTACGTACGTACGTACGTACGTACGTAACATACATACATACATACATACATACATACATACATACATACATACATACATACATACATACATACATACATACATACATACATACATACATACATACATACATACATACATACATACATACATACATACATACATACACATACATACATACATACATACATACATACATACATACATACATACATACATACATCATACATACATACATACATACATACATACATACATACATACATACATACATACATACATACATATACATACATACATACATACATACATACATACATACATACATACATACATACATACATACTACATACATACATACATACATACATACATACATACATACATACATACATACATACATACATACATACATACATACATACATACATACAACATACATACATACATACATACATACATACATACATACATACATACATACATACATACATACATACATACATACATACATACATACATACATACATACATACATACATACATACATACATACATACATACATACATACATACATACATACATACATACATACATACATACATACATACATACATACATACATATATTGTCAGTAAATAGTTAGGTCCTTAACCCTGCTGGGCAGCTGGTCTAGGAAGGAAGCTCAACGAGGCGGACAAATAGAACACTGCTCTCCTTCAATCCGGCGGCTTCTGCAGCATGTTTTGCCCAGTCAAGCAGGAGCCGTCTCTGCGATGGATCTCTAACACGCTTTGTCTCTTGTCCTGGTTGTACACACTCTCAGACTGCTGCTCGTCCATCTCTTGATGTTCTCCACTTTCCTTTGACCTTTTCCCACCAGTATGGTTTAAAAAGGGTGTTTTGTCTTTTAGTGTGGCCAAAGTATTTCAATTGTCTTTGTTTTATTTTTTTCAGTATTTCTCTTTAAAATGTGTAGCCTTTCTAGAACATCTGTATTGGACTGTTTTTGTTTCCGTGGAATACGACCTATTCTTCTGTTAACACACATCTTCGGAGTCTCAGTTCGATTTTCTATTTACTTTGCTTCAAAAATATTAGTATTACCTTTTATTTGAAGTAAAAAAGGCCGGCAGAGTAAGGGATTGTCCCGACACAGGCAACACACAGGGTGACCATATGTCCAATTTTCCCGGGGACAGTCCCGTTTTTTTTAAAAACTCTAATGTTCATGTTTTATAAAAGTCCAGCAATAAGCTCGAAAATGCTACGTATACTGAAAGCTATTGCTGATGACCATGTTACATTCCACAGCTTTAAATAGATTTAATGCCTGAAATGTGTTGAAGGGAATTTGTGTAGCATTATTCCTTTTGCAGCCGATGAGTATATATTATTTCGTTTATTTCTTTGTGACAATGCTTCGTGCATTAATAGTATCATAGCCGAAAGAGTAGTTAACCCTTTTACCCTGGTGACCCAGACAAAAATGAAAAAGAGAGAGATGGGAGAGGAGTTAAACTGACTTGTTTGGGGTGTCCTGTTTCCAGCTTTAAAAAAAATTAGCTGAATGTCCCGTTTTCAGTTTAGGACATTGTGGTTACCCTAGCAACAAAGGTCTGCAGAATACTTACTGCCCAGGATTTGTGCTGTGAAGAGGTTAACTTTACTCCTGGCCTTTAAAAGTATTGCTGCAACGGGCTTTTATTCTTATGCCTCCCTATTATACAATATAACACTATCTTCCAGAAATAGGTAAAGGTATCAACAACAATATAGATAGACGTGTATAGATTTCAAGAAAAAATATGTATCTACTACCATACATGATCTTACACACACAGAGGAGCAGCTGTAACGAACTTTCTACCCACACACAATCTGTTTAATCCGGTAGAACATTATGGTTGATTGCCCATTTCTAGACATAGGTCTTGTTCCAGAACTAGATATTTTTATTCATATCTTTTTTTTTTTTTCTTTTTTTTCTTTTTAACAGATTTGGCTTATTTCCGTGCAGCCTGTTGGTTAATCACCTCTTATGCAGGTGTGCTCAGATTTCAAAGAAAACAACCCTAATAAGTAACATTTTAACAACATTCTTGTTAGGAGGGAGTGGGTGTTTTCTTGTTTCCCTAAAAATAGCGCCCCGAAACCCATGCGTGGATTTTTTTTCTTCTTCTTCTTTTTCTTCTTCTTCTTCGCGTTTACCTGCTGTAAAATCTAGTGAAAAGTTCTGTTTATTTATTCACTTCTGGACTGTAGTCCTGTTCGAGAACCTGAGTACAGCGTGTGCATCCGTTTTACAGATCTGACTCATTTGTATGCAGACTGCCGGTTCCTTGCAGATGCACTCTGACTTCGAAGGAAGCTCCCAATTAATCGACTCTTACGACATGCTTTGGGTAGGCCGTGGGCCTATTCTTGTTTTCCCTATAAAAGGGCCACGGAACCCACACGGGGATTTTTCCTACTAATCTGTACAGGGGTCTCAAGCTGCCAACTCCTTAAATGAGTATGGGTAAGTATTCTGAGAAGTTAAAGTTCAAAGACCAGAGGACTTACCTCATCGCACCGGGTTATATCCCATATGGCTAGGTCTTTCACCACAGAATAAATAGCCACCTGACGAGAGCGCGTCGCAGAGCACGAACTATGTAGCTCCAGCGATGATACAAAGGATCTAAATGAAAACTGAATTCGTAACCGAGCGACGCAGCCGTGAAATTAGGTTAAGAGCGTCGGAGCTCGAGAAAAACGGTTTGCCCATTGAGGACAAAGGACAGATGTTTCTACAAAAATGAGACTAATACTATTTGTATATGTACCTACTATGCCTCA